TATGCTACCATCTGGTGTGTAGAAAGTACAACAAATAATAACAATTTTTACTGGATGTTAATAATACGATGACTTACTAGAATCACTGTTTATTGTAAGTCTATTAGCTAAATATTTTCCAAGAACTACTGTTGTCAGAGAAAATATAACAACAATTCATTTATAATGTTCTTTTTCTGTATATTAACAAAAACCTTTTCTATATATTAGGATTCATAATGTCAAAATTACATTCATAACAAGATGTTGTCATTGGGAATTTTTGGCCGAGTTTTATGATAGGTTTAATGATCTTAAAAGTAGTTAATCGGTTGTTCTCAAAAGCCATATTTTCAAGAAATATATTTCATCAGTAGAGCGCGTTCTGGTGAACAAAATAAATCAAATTTGATATATTTTCTTTAATTTCAGAGATTATATATGATAATTAGTAGTTTTTAATTGACAGTTTGTAATAAAATTACGAATTAAACGTAAGTTTATTATTGAATCAGTAAAATTATTAAAATCCTGAACATTCTATCTGATATACACTGTACAATGGTACTGGTAGTTTAGTAAAAAATATTTCCTAAGATTTATCTGATACTCGGTATTGTATTCCTGTCTAACTATTAGTTTGGATGTATTCCTTAGTACTAAGAGTTGTCAGTATTAGGTGTTGATAGACGTCATGATCTATAGACTGTTATATTTTGTTGATGCTACACACAAACGGATGAGCTAATCAATATAATACACAAAAGTCAATGTTAACTTGTCAGTTATATCGTGACATAAAATTATAAACGACATAACCTGGTTGTTAAACTCTCAGGATCGAAACCTGTTGCCGAATACGAAGAAATATATATATATATCTAGGTCTGTTTAGTTGTGAGAAATAGTTTATAACGTCTGTAGAAATTAACTTGAAAGATTCTGAAAGTTTACAAAAGTCAATAAATTGATAGCTTCCTTTAAAAACAAATATCTAAGTAAGAAAAGATTAAAAAAATCTGTCTAACGATCAAACTTGTGTATAATAAAAAGTGACAAGGAGTTGAAAACGGCACATGAAGCGTAATATTTTAACAGTAAATATTAGAAATCTCTAACAGAGGGCGCTTGTGTTGATAATTACTTATTGTCGTTTTAATTCATCGTAATTAGTAGGTAGAAAAAAATGGCGTTCCAAGAAAATGACGCAGGATTTCATAATAATGAGATATCATCCTTATGGTTCAGTATATTTTGGAAAGTATTTATGTTTGATATAATAATATAGAGACGGTATTTTGGAACAGAGAATTATAATAATTGACAAAAATTATCAGCTTAATGATAAAACAAAACACTAACGTAATAACAGGAAGCATTTATTAGACGTCTCTGTTATTACATTCGTGTTTTGTTTTATGACAAAAATAATTAAAAATTAATGCCACCATTACTCATAAAAATAATTTAAAGCAGTGCCATCTATTGTAAAATGAGTGAAAAGTTATGCCACCTAGTGTAATAATAGAGTAAATAGAATTCAATTCCGGTTTATATATTAAGAATTTTCCTAATTTCGTTATTATATTTTCTGTGTCATTTATAAAAGAGTTATTAGTGTTCTTTCCGTCGCTAGAGATTTTTTTTTAATTTCGAGCGCAAGAAATAAATTGTAATGTTGAACTATTTGTTTATGGTAAACAGTAAATCTGAAGTCAACAACCAAAACATCGTTTTCTTTTTTACAAAGAAATAGCCGTCACGTTAAATAGCAAGATATTATTTTGGTGTATATATACACATGAAGAAGGAACATGAGTAATATTTTACAATCTATATTTTAGGGTAAACAAAAATAATCTGGACGTAATTAGGAGAGGAAGTTTGACGTCACTAAGTAAAACTTAAAAATCACGTGTTGGATATAATACTTGAAAATAAGTATGAGATTGTTTTGTAAACTGTAACCGTTCTAAAAATCTATAAAATATTATAATATGGTTTTGTGACATTACCCTGAATTAGTCTAGAACGTAAACCATCAACTAATAACGAGTTTATTTACACTACAAACACTGTTAGACACGTGAAATAAAATAATTCAGCTCATTAGTTTGTTTTTATGGTAGTTATAGGAATATTATGATTAAATACCCAATTAAACAACACCAACTTTACGGTGAATTGGTCGTTAGATCTTAACTGTCAGTACAATGATATCACGTGACAACGTCGTTACTAAGTTCTACTTGACATGTTTCATTCCACGAGTAAGTAAAACTTGAATATTTTGATACAATAAACACGTGCCTTACCTTATATTAACAGTTTACCAAACGTGTTCATTGGCTAGGCCTTACAACTAGATTAATATTGACCAATAGAAAACATTATAAGATATTATCAGTGTTATATTCACTAACTTGATATGATTACTTGCCGATATGACGTCATATGTTCAAAGCGTCCTTTTCTCAGTATCACACACAAGTCGAAAAACGTTAACATTTTCCTAACCCTAATCTATTCTTAATCAGCGTACACTAGATAATTTGTTAACATTTAAATACAATAAAACTATATGGCTTTATATATTATCTATAAACTCATTACTGATTATATTATCACAAGAATAATATCAAGGTTTGTCCGAATGTTATTAAAAAATTAATTTTACTGTACGACTCAACCTAGACATTAGATTAGAAGATCAGTTTATTAAAACTAGAGATATAAATGTCCATTAAAATAGCGTTAGAGGACACGACGAGCGTTTGGTAAAAACCGGGAATTTTGTGGTTCTATTATCTCCAGTTAAGTTTCTCGCCATTGATTTTGTAGATGTAGGTGTAAACTTGTGTAATAACTTCGAATTGTTGGAAGTTTTACTGAGAAAAAATGTTTAGGTACTAACATGTTACGATGTTCATTATTTACAGCTGTTGTCACCTTTCAATTACAAATGGATGAGGTGTTTGTTCCCTCGTGAGTTTGATCTGTAAATACTGCCAATAAATTACATTATTTATTTTAAGGAAAGTGTCGTATAAAACAGTTTGATAAATTTTACATTCAACACACAGCTGTTTTATATAGTGGATCTATATAACCAAATTTGGAACACTAAGGGTTAAATATCTAACCAATAATCAATATATAATCATCGTTGACGTCACTGGTAGTTTTCTTTGAACCAATTTGGAGGTTTTGCTAAGCCTACTTTAAAATGTAATTTGGTTGAATTTTGCACAAAGCTACAAGGACTGTCTGTACTAACTGTCTAAAAGTTACAAGTGATAGGCTGGAAGAAAAGTGGCTAGTTAACACAGCATATTATTTTTACAATGAATGGTGGGATTGGCCATTATGTTATAACACCTCTTGGTTGAAAGGACGAAAATGTTCGGTGATAGTTTTTGATCCCACAACTGGTATATTATGAGTTGAGGTACATTACTTTTTGTTTTTACAGTTAACTGTCACTAGTTAGAGGTTAATAATGGTTTTTTTTAAATAGAAAATTGTCCTTAAATGTAAGGGTGTTCAAGATTCTCCCCCCCCCCCAATAACAACAACATTATCTGACCTTTTAAATGATTTTAATTTTTGTCAGCAACATGTAAATGAAGTAATGTATAATCTGTACCAAAGATTGAAAACCTGAAGCTATTTCTAGTACCACAGAAAAGTAAACTATCTCATGAAAGGAAGTTTTATTTGTTATATTACTTCTACATGAGAAACTTTGAAACATTAATGACATTTTTTATCTCACAAAATCTCTCTATGGGATGTCTGTTTAGTATTATGAGAAAAAACTACCAACCTATCAACACACCTTAAGGCCACGGATTTCATCCTTTATGGCCAGGGTACAAATCTAAGGCCACAGATTTCACCCTTTATGGCCAGGGTACAAGTCTAAGGCCACAGATTTCACCCTTTATGGCCAGGGTACAAGTCTAAGGCCACAGGTTTCACCCTTTATGGCCAGGGTACAAGTCTAAGGCCACAGATTTCATCCTTTATGGCTAGGGTACAAGTCTAAATTATTTTTTCTTTCTTTCTTTTAGGGGGGGGGCTATGCCTACCAGATTGTGAGCTTTACAAAGTTTTTTTAAAGTTAATAAAGCAAAAACTGTGATTTACAATATCCTACACACAGTAGCTTAAGTGGTTAAAGAATTTGACCAGTAAACCAGTTCATGGTTTGAATCCCACCTGGTCTTAGGTTTCATCTCTTTCAGGAAAAAAATACGGCTTTCCAGGACAGCCCAACAGCATCTGAATTTCTTTCAAAGAACTGGTTAGCAGAGAAAGCTAAAGTTTTTTTTTAAATGACATATTATGTAATAATGTCTGAATACTAATTTCCCATGGAATGAAAAATTTAAACCAAGAAGGTAGATGTGGAATGGAGTCTTATTCCAAAAAAAACATCACACAAGCTGAGAATCTTCAAGTTTCTGAATTATCTTATTCAGTTTAACAAGAAATATGAGTATTTACAACTAACCTCAACTTTGTTCTATTAACTGTTACTTAAAGCCGAGTGGTTGCTCATCCTTTCAAAACTAACGACACGGAACACACACCTGTAACTATCGGAATATTCCCATTTGTTCCTGCAGAATTCAACTGGTTACTTTAATTCAGAAAACTGTTTTCAGAAAATCATTATTGAGATATTAATTATTTGTACTGGATGTATTTAGAATATTTTAGAATATATGAGTGGTTGCTCATCCTTTCAAAACTAACGACACGGAACACACACACCTGTAACTATCGGAATATTCCCATTTGTTCCTGCAGAATTCAAGTGGTTACTTTAATTCAGAAAACTGTTTTCAGAAAATCATTATTGAGATATTAATTATTTGTACTGGATGTATTTAGAATATTTTAACAGTGCATATAGACTGAAACCTCTTTAATGTATAACACAGAAACAAATAGTACTATATCCAATGCTGTGGCAGCTTCTTTGTGTAAGAGTAATTGACACAAACTTCATCAACTACTGTTTTAAACCTTTGCTTTTAATAAGACAATAATACACGATTTTCTGGAGGTAATCATTATTTAAAGTAGTCTTTCTCGAGGTATGGCTATATAACATTAGTTTTGACTAGTTACAATTACGTATACATTAAACATACAGTAAACTGAAAAAAAAGAAATCTAGAGTCCTGAAGCAACTGTTAACAAGTGGAAAGCTTAATATGTATGTATATATATATGTATATGTTAAATACTGCAAAAATTAAGATTAAGTAGAATCTATAAGCTTATGACACGATTAAATTAATTCATGAATAATGTTTTAACCTATAATTTAACAGATATTTAATGCTAAACAAAATTATGCAAGTTGACACCTGGTGGTTAAAACAAGTTTGATTGCTCACCATACACACACACAGAGACTAATAGCATTTAAAGATACTTTGTTTCAAAAGCCATGGCAGTAGGCTTTTTAAGAAAAACATCAGAAATTCTTTTCCAAGACTCAGTATACTACCAACTGATGCCTGTTCACCCTAATCTTGAAAATAGCAAGTCTGAATGGAAATCATAACTGCAATTTAACATAATTCCCCCACTTTATTAGCTGTGACCTGTCAAAGACAACAGTAAGAGCACTGCCACACTGATGCTCACATTGTGTGTGATTAGTGTAAACTTCACATCTTATCCACACACTCTGTATGGATTCCCTTACCCGTCCAGGTGGTCTTGAACTGCTCCGGCACAGCAAACTCCACCTACGGAATCAGAAAACAGCAAATATTAAACCTGGCATGAAATGTTCCAATAGTCAATGCTACAATATTTTATAAACTTTGTTTTTGGAGGGGTGATTTATTTTCAGAAATAGCTCTTTTTTTCAATACTGCTAAAAAATAAATTATAACTAGCTTATATTTTTCTTGTTATGTACTGCCACCCTAATCAGATATTATTTTGCTTCCCCCACCCTCCAACATGATTGCTCTAGAAATGAAGCCTTCTTTGTTACGTCACTAATCACGTGGTCACACAGTGCGTTTGACTGGTATCTCGATCTGTTGTGGCGGGTTGAAACGACCCGTATTACAAAATTAAATAAAAACATAATTTATCAAATATTTGTTGCTGCTTTCAACATTTCTTAAATTTGCCAGCAGAGGTAGCTGTCTACTCTGCCTACGCATAACCGCAGCCCTGATCTATCTAATATTTTACAAGAAACACTGTAAATAGTGAAAACTAAAAAAAGTATATATTTTCTGGTCTTAACTGCGACTGATCGATCGTTTTAAAATTTTTTGAGGGAATGGTCAACTGTACATAGCCATTCGATGGAATGCAGTTAGTCAAATATCCTGTCTGACTGAAGAGTAGCATTTGACCAATATACTTATAACACAGCCACAACTTCAAATTGTAGAGTGTACTTCCAGAAACCAACCACTAATGTTTAGATTCACAGTCTGAGTACACTAATCACCATACCACACCCAGCCTTAGAGTCGAAGAAATTATGTTTGACTTCCATGAAAATATTGGTTTCTCAAACAACGCTGCCGAGCCCTTTATAATAGCTGGGAGATTCGTTTACTCATAAATTTTACTATCTTTGGGAACACACTAACAATAATTAAAGCACGTTCATACAGTGAAACTCTCGAATAAACTAAACTGGTATTTTAAAGATCTTCTGTTACTTTGTTTTGAACTCTAAGAAGAGTCCCGAACTTTTATCATAATGTGTGTAGAGCATTATCATTGATGTGTAATTCTGTTAATCAAGACATAAATATAAATATTATGTGCTTTAGTGAGAACCAATTCCAAAAATGTTACAATCTCAACAACAAAGCATGATTTCCAATCAATATTTATGTAAAAAAAAAATTGTTTAAAAGAAATTTAAACCTTTATTCAATCAAAAGAAACAAATACAAGAAGATAAAGAAAGCCGAGTTATTATAAAATTATACTTCAAGTTCTTTGGAAATACAGTTTTAAATCACAAAGTCAGTGTCATAGCCTTTATTTTATTTTCCTACGGGTGGTAGACAAAGTTCTAAATGTATTTCTTGAGTTTTGAACAGCAAGATCTTCTAAGAGATCTTATAACATAGGTGAAAACACAAAAAACTCGAACCATAGTCTTATTTAGTCAAAAAAAAATATTTGCATTAAATTCTGCAAGTCAACAGTTTTAGCAAGGATTAGATTTAAAGATAAACTTAATTCTCAGACAAGTTTTAGTGAGGGCCAAAATTATTCCGTATTGATAACCTTTCAAGATTGAAACATTTGAGCTCGACCCATCTAAAAACATTAAACTCATCGGACGATATATTAGGATTAAAAACACTTACATAGTCACCACTGGCTTGTGGAACCGAAACATTAATCTCAGAAGACTTGGAACTGAATATCTGGACATCAAGAGCATCTTTACAGAGAAACAGCTGAGCACCATCCGTTTTATCAACGGAAATTGTCGGGCATTTGCCCATGCACTGGAAAAAAAAAAGGACAGTTACAAACAACAGAAATGGATTCAGTTTATATTGTCAATCTATTTGAAATTATTCACTGTTCAAAAACAGTATTTTCAACTAAATCAATAGCCATTAGAAACACTTTATATGGTTCCAGTATTTCATTCTCTGTATGATAGCTTTATTCGTGGATGAGAGCCAGGTACTGAACGTTTCATGAACTGTATGATGGAGAATGTTCCATCATATTATCGTGAAATTAATTTCAATAAGAAGTTTCTTTCTGTACTTATCTATTTTAATTAAGACCACTTGCTAATTTTCTCACAAGTTAAAATTAAAACAACCTGTTGAGACTCTCAAACAATAAAAATGCACTAAGCTATTAGTAAGTGGCACAGTTAGTTAACCGTTTTCGTATTACTCAACTTACTTGGGCCTGAATTCTATCGCAATTGATAAATTCCATGGAAGAAACGAGATCGTCAAATACTATCGAAGTTTTCTTACACGTGTCTAAATGGAAAAGGAGAAAAAAAATCCTAGCTGAAAACGAATTATTAAAATGACTAGAGTTTAAAAACTCCTAGCTGAATTATTAAAATGACTAGAGTTTAAAAACTCCTAGCTGAATTATTAAAATGACTAGTTTAAAAACTCCTAGCTGAATTATTAAAATGACTAGAGTTTAAAAACTCCTAGCTGAATTATTAAAATGACTAGAGTTTAAAAAGTTACATTCCCACAGCCAATAATCTGAGAAGTAAATGTCAAGTTAACCGTTAAAAAAAACATTTTCATTCTAACAACAAATTATCTTTTCTTACACATCAATAACTTAGTGTTACTTTTATCCTAAGGTTCTGAACAATCACAATCTTTAAACGGTTTATTAATTTCATACAAACAAGTGATAAAATGTAGTGGCTTCTCTGTACACAAGTCTTGAGATAGATCTCCCCCAAACACACCTTTTTTCTAACATTTTAAAAATAGTTACTTTAACGTATAACATACGCAGCTAAACAGACTTTCAACATAACATTTCTTTAAAAGGTTACAGTAACTATACTTTGGTGGCCGATTGACGTGTTAACAACCTTTTAGCACGTACAGTGTCACTGGTCCGTGCTAACCCGATGTGCTAAGATTTTTTACTTCTAGTGAAAAGCGTGTAAACCCGTGATGTAATATTACACGATCTTGTTAATGAATTATTTAACATTTTGCTATCATTGAATCTGTTAATTTTTAAAAACAAACCATCAACCGAATCAAAGGACATTTGTACTTTTTATTTACACGAATGTTATTTCGAGATCCACGTACACTAGGTAATATTGTTTTTTCTACATTAAAATCAGAACACATCTAGATTAAGTACTTTCAGCCCCAATAAACAACATCCTTACAACCAAAGAATCAAAAATATTTCAACACTACGATTTAAAATAACATTACGTACTGTTAATAGATACAACAATTCAACTGTACATATTAACATTTTAAAATGTCTACATTAGGTAATGAATACATTTACACTTCATATTATATATATATATATATACAAATATTTGGTGATAATAAAAACGTAGCGACCCCCTCTTATCTCATTCTTCGTAACCATCCTTCCATTCTGCTGTGAAACATACACTCACCTACGGTTATTGCGTTAACTTTCCCCTTGACCACCACCAAACAATCATTACACTGAAACACTTGAACTGCTTGGTTCATCTGAGTCTGGTCGATAACCAAGTCCTTCCTGCCTTGATGATACTCCTATATATACACATAAACAGTCTACGTTGTTTCTAACACTGGATATTGTTCCATTTATCAACAGCTCGGCATTATAAGAACCATTCATTTTTTACCTATATACATACATGTGCTGATGTTCAAAGACTGAGTAGCTGTTTTCTACATTTTTATATCAGAAGAACATTGTAGTCTCATCACCAGAGTAATTTTAATAACAAAATTTAAGATCTCACGTTGTATTTGTTTGGCCTAAAAATGAGTAATTAAAAGTTTTGGAAAATTCGCTGTACTTATCAGTATAAATATTGTCTCTAATACTCAAATTACAGACTTTTGTTATACAGGGTGGTCTAAAATTACCACTCCTATTTTAAAATTTTTATAATTAAATAACTAAGAAAATACAACCATGCAGAGTTTAACATCCAACTTAAATAGTTTTTATCTTCTTTTTTTTTTATATATTTCCCTCTTGTGAGTAGTGTTACCCTGTAAAATGGTAACCATGCAAGAAAAGGCTCAATACACTATACGGCTCGCAGAGATTAAGTCGGCAACTGTTGTGCAACATAATTACAGGAAAGTATGGGGGTATGTTAAGGATACCATGCAAGAAAAGGCTCAATACATTGTATGGCTCGCAGAGATTAAGTCGGCAACTGTTGTGCAGC